CTAACCACCAGTGTAGACCCAGATTAAACCAGTCTAACAAGCGGTCCAAACCCAGGACAAAGCCAGGTTTAATGCCATGTCCAGTTGAACAGCTGAAGACTAGATCATTCCCTGATCTAAACCCAAGTCTATCATCATATCTCATGGTCTTACGGTTTTATTTGACAGAGTACTTGTTCTGTAGGCTTTACTGATCCTCTGTGCAGCCAGCTGCAGCTATACTGACAGACTTTAAAAAAGGTAAAGCAGCAATTAACAAAACAAGAAAAAGGAAGCAGTTTACTGAACCGGACTGATTTCTGTGTTCAGTGAAATGTCGATAGAACGAACAAACTCATTGCTCTAATGTCAGGAAGTACACTGGGACTGAGGAGACTTTACAGAAACAGACATGACAACCTGCACAGACAACGGGAGGTTCATTCAGCAGCGAGGAGGAAGAGGAGGATGATGACGAAGGCCTTCCTTGGACCTACCTTTATGTGCGACAGCAGAGACATATTAGACAGAGAAGTTATGTGTCTCTGAGGTTCTGTTGTGTCCTGAACCTCCATCTGTACTCCCCTGTTCACCTCCTCTTTAGGCCTGGCCCCCTCTGTGATGTCATCTTGCCGCTGCTGGGTCTCCCGGCCTGCCGCCTCCTCCTGCAGGGGCTCGTACCAGGTGTCTGGCCGCCGCAGCGCCGCCACCCAGCCGTCCCAGCGCCGAGTACGGTCCGATGACCTCTTCACCTGTTGGCTCCTGTAAGCTACGCGGTGGCGCCGGCGCTCGTGGGTAGGGCTTCCAGGTTCTCTGGCAGGTGACCTGCCGAGCAGCGTGAGGCGGGCGGGGCTCAGGACCCGACAGGTGATCTCATCTAGGAAGTTGGAGAAGCGGACCTTGTCCTCCAGAACCTGCATCCTCCAGTTCCAGTTGCTCCTGCAGGGGGAGGATGGGGCCGAGGACCGCCGCAACACCGGCGCCGCCCGCGGCTCCGCCCGGTCCAGAGAGCGGGTCGGCGGGTGACGGCAGCCCCGCCCTGCGCTGTCATCCAGCAGCTCCACCGACTTGGACTTTCTCATGATGTCGTAGGTGTGCTCCACTGCCAGCGAGGCCGGCTGCTTCAGGATGCTCTTCGGAACGCCACTTGTCCGGGTGCCGGTCTGCGTCCGGCGCCGCCCTCCTCTGGGGCTGCAAGCTGGCGAGTGTCTCCTGGCTGGGCTTCGATGTCCTGACAGACTTGCGTTTCCTCCGCTGATGCTGCTCTTCGTGGCATGCTGCGGCCTTGGATCACGGTAAGGACTCTTGGTGTGGTGGTCTGACGCCGTGACACCAACTGCCATGGTCCTGGTCTGGTCGGGTTGTCGGGTGTGGCCACTGAAGAGCGGCGTGGGTGTGATGCAGAGCTCCAGACTGGATATGCTGGAGACGTCCAGTTCACTGTCAGAGAGCGGCAGCGGCGAGGTCCGGATGCAATGCTGCGACCCGGCGCTGTGTGGCCGGTGGCAGCCAGCATGGGGGTGGGGGAGGTGTGGAAGGGTGTTGAGGGTGTGTTTGTTTACCTGGTTTATGTCGGGCTGTGGCGCAGGTGGTGGCGGAGCGGCAGGCAGGGCGTGGCGCGTCTCACGGTGCTGCGGCGGAGCCTTTCGGTACGGCTTCCTGGCCGGCGCCGCGCTCGTCATCCTTGGCCCAGCGTATGTTTGTCCTCCCTCCGGTCGGTCTGTCAGTCCTGTAGGAGAAGCAGCGTTAGGTGAGACAGAACACGACGCCGCCAATCGCCCACCGACCGCCCACCACGACGCCTCGACCACGACTGACCGAATCGTAGCGTCACACTCGCTCTCGCCGTGTAGATCGATGCTCGGTCGCCACACATCAGCATCAAGCCTGCTGCACCCGCTCTCACTTACTGTCTCTGTGAGGACCGAGCTGATACAAAGGTCCTCACAGACACAGTAAACCTGATCAGTCCTCACTCAGTGTGTGTGTGTGTATATGTGTGTGCACCTCAGGCTACATTGATCTCAGTTTGTTTCCAGAACAGGAAGTGCGGCTGCATTGATCTGCCCGATGCTAACAGTAGCATGTCAGCCTGTTAATGTGAATGACACAGGACAGAGCTAACACTGCTAACATGCTAACTGCAGTGCTGAGCATTTCAAACACTTTAAAAAGCTCATATTGAAAATTCAGGCTCCAAAATAGAAACTCAAACAGCCAAAGTGAATCCAGCCGTGATCAGTGAAACTAAACTCAGTCCAGCTGTGGTTCCCATCAGTCCACCTGCATGAACATGGTTCTACAACGAGCTGANATCAATCAGTCACACAGGAGGCGTTTTCATTCATTAGTTCATTTTAACTAGAACCTAAACAAAGAACCAATCAGCTCAGAGCTCAGGTGAAGGGGGCGGAGTTTACCAGAGCGTGAAGCTTCTCCTCCAGATCCTGATTGGCTCTCTGAGACGCCGTGTAGCTGTTCTGCAGTCTGCAGAGAGAGAGACAGGATGTTCAGCCGCTTGTTCGCCCTCACAGCACTAACTCAGTTCACAGGTGAGTCCACGCAGTGAGCCACAGGTGAGCTACAGGTGAGTCACAGTTCAACTATAATTCTGCTGGAGTTAAGTCACAGTTGTGCAGTCGTCTACAGAAGTTTCCATCCAGGTGTAAATACCACGTACACCATTCAGTCCTGAGTGTCCAGTGACTCCTAGAACTCTGAACGTTCTGTGATGCAGTCACTGAATCATGAACCTTTGTCACTACAAACAATCCTGTATCATGTGTATGACAAACACACACACAGCAGCCTGAATGGTCAGCGCTGGTGATGGAGAACGTTGTGTTCATCAGGTGTTCTTAGCTTCATGGCCTCCTAACTCCTCCTGAGTCGTTCTGATTGACTCCAGCTGCTGACTCCTCTGATCCCCTCTAAACAGAACCATCTGATCCACTCATTAGACTCAGACACTGGAGCCGTTTCAGAGCAGCTTCAGATCCAGAACCATCAGTGTGTCAGCATAAAGTTCATGGTCCAGTTGTGTTACTGCCACCATCAGGAAGGAAACACAAACTAGCAGCTGCTGCTGAGAGACGACTGGTCAGGATGGTCAAGAGTCAACCAGGAAGCAGCAGGAAGCAGCTCTGGATGGACCAGAAGCTGCTGGAACACAGCTGTCAGTGTCCACAGGGTCTGACATCAACATGAGCTGAGAGGCTGATGGAGAAGGAAGTTCTTCCTCTACAAGCAGAACCTTAAAGCTAAACTCAAGTTTGTCAAACACACATCAAAGTGGCACAGAAATGGTTAAATCAGGCTGTAACAGAGGTTCAGACTGGTCTCCCCAAAGTCCTGACTTAAACCATCAGAAACTCACGCCACCATCTCCTGCATCCTGGGGGAGGACGAGTCATGGAATCTAAGTCGGCCGTGTTCAAAGCCTCCACTGCAGATGTGGCTTTTAGGAGCTGTGTCCAGAGGATCAGTGGTGCCTGTCGCTGGTAGATGCCGGGTGGTGAAGGAGGCTGTGAGGGAGAAGAAGGAGGCCTTTAGGGCCGGGTTGGCTCAGGGGCCCCCTCACCACCAGACTGGTACCAGTCGACCAAAAGGGGCACAGTTGTCATAGCTAAAACGTGGGTGTGGAAAGAGCTTGGAGAGGCAATGAAGAAGGACTATGAGCTAGCCTCAAGGAAGTTTTGGCAAAGTGATGCCTCAGGAAGGGGGGCGGGGCCTGGCCCAGGCCGACTACAGTCAGGGGGAAAACTGCTGACCCAGACTGGGGACATTGTCTGACGGTGGACAAGACAGAGGACTTCGAGGAACTTCACCTGGTCCTCTGCTGAGGAGGCACAGCCTGAAGACTTGGAGGAATCTGCGCCCATATCTGAGGCAGAGGTTGCCAAGGTAGTCAAGAAGCTCCTCGTGGTAGCAGGTGAGATGAGATTCATCCTGAGAAGCTGAAGGCTCTGGACACTGTTGGCCTGTCTTGGCTGACAAGTCTCTCCATCAGGTACAGTGCCTGTGGAGCTTCAGACCAGTTGTTTTTTTGGCCTTTGTGCCCTTTTATTGATAGAGCAGGTGAGAGAGAGAGACAGGAAAGTAGGGGAGAAGAATGGGGGAGGACGTGTGGGAAAGGGCCATGAGCGGGATTCGAACTCATGACCTCCACATCGGGTCTGTAGCCCTGCACATGGGACGCCAGCTCCACCAGGTGAGCTATAGCGGCACCCCGGTAGTTCTGATTTTTAAAAAGGGGCACGAGAGGCTATGTTCCAACTCTGGGGGTGTCACACTGCTCAGCCTCCTGGGAAAGTTCTCTCCAAGGTGCCGCAAGAAAGGCGTGGACTGTTGGACCTGGGGTTCAGGAGGAACACTGATTTCGTCCTGGTTGTGGACTGTGGAGCAGCTCTTCACCCTGCAGAGCTGCTGAGGAGGTCATAGTTTGACCCCCAGTCCACATGTGTTTAGCAGATTTCAAAAAGGGGGGGGCTCTCTCTGTGGGGGGTACCAGGCTCGTTATGATCCATTTCGGTCCCTGTACAACCAGAGCGAGAGCTGTGTTTGCATCCTCACAAAGTCTGACACGTTTCTGGTGGGTGTTGGACTCCTCCAGAGCTGCCCCTTGTCTCCGATCCTGTTTGTGGTGTTCTGGGTCTGAAGGTGCAGCTGGGGTGAGCTGGAGGTCCAGTTTGGGGACCTCAGGATCGTGTCTCCGCTTTGTACGGATGACATGGTTCTGCTGGCTTCATCAGACCTTCAGCAACACTGGAGCAGTTTAGGCGGCTGGGATGTGAATCCGAGGCCTTGGTTCCCTCTGGGTTGGGGGAGGTGCTGCCCCAAGGTGAGGAGCTTCAGTATCTCGAGGTCTTGTTCATTTTGATTGATTTGAATATGATTTTGTCATATTTCCAGAAAACCTTTAATAAATCTGTAAACCAGAATGCAGGATTGTTTCCGTGACAAAGATTCATGTGTTTCAATGACAGAAAACACAGAAACTCCAGACTGCACCACATTCATCATCTTTACAACCTGTAGCTGCATTCTAGCA